TATATATATATATATATTATGATGCAAGCCTACGGGATGCGACTGCATGAGTCTACTGATATCATGAATGTGTGTTATGCCCACTAGTACAGCGACTTTTGCATATGCTCATGTATGCCAGTGCATGTGTATCTGCATGTGATTGACAAAAGTATAACCCATCAACGCCATGCCGGGCAACTGTGCACCCGGTAGACCTCGCTTGCAAGAGCTCAACAAGACAGTCAGTTGCCGTTCTTAAGTGTTATAGTTGGGCTTAAGAGTTCGCGCTTAGGACGAGAGAAGAGGCCAGAATCTAAGTCAATCCCATTTGGCTAGTGTATTTTTCCATGTTGAGTCAGCCTTGCATCGCCTATCCTGTAAAGGGGTTTCGATTGGCTGGGCCAGTTTACAGGCCAAATTTTTTCGGAAGCAGCGAACCAATGATAGCTAAAATGAACATCAGTTACATTAAACCTTATTTCTTTTTTTTTGAGGTGTTTGTCTCCAAATTGCCTTTTCTTCATTCCCGGGGCCCGTCGTCACCCGAGGTGGACGACGGACATGATCACTGGCAGCTGGAGTACTCATTTGGCTATATCCTTTTTAGTTATGGTAGGTACCAGAAGTTTTTAAATCTGTGTTCGAGGGGTTTAATTCGGCGTTGAGCCCAGGAGTTAGAGAGAATTTGTAGGCGTCATCTGTCGATGCTCTGTCCTGAAGGAAACGGGGACTCCCCCAGGAACGCAATGCCCCCTGGGACTCTGCAGGATGCTGAAGACTCAAAAATTTTTACAGCTTTACTCCAAGGCTCCCCGGGAGAAACACTAAGGGGCCCGCGGAAGAGACCAAAGTCCGGCCTGGAGGGCCCCACCAACAGCAGTAGCCGCCTTGCACAAAAAGTACCTACCCACCTTCCGGCATCAAGTGCAGCTTCAGAAGTGACATGTGGGACGGCAGCCGAAGAAACAGCATCAGAAGCAGCGGCACCTGATGCAACATCGGCAACAGCCTGCGGAGCAGAAGCCGCAGTGCCACAGGACGAGGCCTTGAGCCGCAATCGAATCAGTAGCGGCCGCCATGGAGAGCGGATCGATTGCCCTATGGACAACAGTCATTCGATTTATGCTCTTCGTCTGCAGGCCCACCTAAAGAAGTGCACAAAAGCAAGAGACATCGCTTTCTCGCACTGTCTCCCTTTCATGCGACCCGGCGTTAATTTGCCGCCGCAGCAGCATTGTTATCTGGAACAGAAGCAGCAGCAGGAGCATGGCCATCCACAGCGGCAGCAGCCGCATGAGGACTACGTAGAAGGTCAGGAAACGGCAGCAGCCCTCACGTCCGAATTAGAGGCCAAGATATCGGACGTATACAGATACGCCCTGAAATATTTGAGCAGCATCCCTCCAATGGAGGCAACAGGAGCAGTCATGGAAGCAGAAATGATGGCGGCAGCATCTCCTTGTGACTCAATAGCACCCTTAGAAACTGCGGTAGCTCCTTGGAACTCCAGGAAATCCCTGCCTGCCACAGTGTTCATATCGAACTGCTGCAACGGCGTTGTTGATACAGACAGTGGCAACGAAGAAGAAGCGTTGCTGCTTCTGCGAGCAGCAGCAGATGCATGTAAAGTACCGTTGGGCACGGCGTCGGCAGCAGCAGGGGGGCTGGCCCTAGCATCGTTGGAAGACGCCTTGGAGAATGCTCTGCTGTTGCCGGAGCAACGCCGGTCGGATGCGCTGCTGGAAGTGCTGCAGCAGTTGCAGCAACGGTTGAATAAGCATCAAAAGCAGCTGCTGCAGCTGTTGGCTCTGTGTCTTCTGCACAGCCACCTGGATCGTTCACTCCTTGACGAGACACTGATCGTAGAATTGGGGGCAGGTGAGCCGTCCTTCTGTTATTCATCAGACTTTTCCTGTCTTTGGTTGAACACACAAACGAGTTTGGGGGCCCTTCATGAAGCATTTTACTGAGTTGTAATTCAGTTTCGATAAGTCTCGCAGTTTTTGTGTTCGTTTCACTCATTTTCATGCAAACATGCAATATGCGGCGGCCCTGGTAACTTCTTGCTCACGGTGTACTGGCATTTGCGTATGGAATTTTAACACTCCATGTTCTCCCCATCAGCATCTCACATCTTTTCTAGTCATTGCACGACATGTGATGCGATCATATACTGGAGGGGCGTTCAGAGAAGTGCATTAGACATGGTTTTTTGCTCTTTTTGTTTAGCTACCCGTTTTTGTGATCACACAGTCGACGTTTTTGCTGACACGTGAAATAGGGAACATCACAACAGAGATACACTTCCAGCTGAACGTGAAGGATGTCTTGTTACTGCGAGAGGTTCCCTGTCAGTGGGTCTTTTAGTTGCATTCTTTGCAAGCAGGTAATCTACCCTGTGTGTATGCCATTTGAAGAATCGCTGGGCTGCTGCTGATTGCCTTCAGGCAAAGCCGACCTGACGCGTTGGCTCTGCTGCTGGTCAGCCGCTGCTGTCGACGCAGCTGCACCACGCAACGTAGCAGCAGCATCAGCAGGACCTGCACCTGGGCCAGACCCTGGGACATCTGAAATCGCGTCTCCTGGACCCGTTCAACGGCACCGAGGCGTTCGTTGCATTGTCGTCGACCGTGAGGCACGGCGGTACTGCAAGGAGGCCAAGGATAAGACGTTTCGCAATCCTAATGCCCCCCGATCGCTGCATCCTGCTGCTCTTGCTGCCGCTCAGCGACGTAACGCTGCTGCATCGGATGCGTCTACAATCATGCAGAAGAACAGGAGCATGGAAAATCCCCTGCTGGAAGAAGACAAGACCCCAGGGCGAGTTACCCTTACACTCTGTGGCACAGCTCTAGAGCGCACTGTTAGCGCTGCTGCTGCAGCTGTTGCTGCTGGAGAAAGAGCTCAAGACGCTCCTGTTTGGGGCAGCCCTGCGACCTGTGGGATTGCTGTGAGCCGTAACGGCCCCGGAGGCAGCAGCATCCATGCGGCTCTGCCGGTGCCTCCGGTTCGTCTGCGAATGGACATTGCGGACTTTTCTCTGGTGGCGCTCGTTAATTATATAACTTGCAAAGGCCCTTTACGCATGTGAGCCTCATGCTCAAATTCTGCTTCCTCAGGGCTACCCTTAAAGCTTAGGCAAGAGTTCCTTAGACCAGTTTCCCTGTAAGGCTTATGATTTGGGTCTTGCTTTGCTAGAACAAGTGGCGCATGAGGGCAAAAGAGAATTGGTGGTTTATAGTTTACACTCTAGTATTCTGTGTACGTGTATTGGCAGACCGCATATCCCTGGGTTCTTCAAGAAGCTGTTTGAGTACGGCTGCCGCTTCGCGGCCCCAGAAGCTGGGCTAGAGAAGGGCAACAACGAAGCTCACGGCTTCAGGGACAGAGCGGAAGGGCAGGTAAGACGTTCATCAGCAAAGGAGCGAGAGACAAGTAACATAAAGCAGGAGGAGCCAATCTGTGCAGCCACGCGAGGACCCAAGCCAAGGATGCTGCTTAGCATTGAGGACGGCAGTGCCGAGGACTTCTTTGCAATTGCCCAGACTCTGGGGGAGGGCGGGGGCCCAAGCATGAAGAAGTGGGTCTTCCTGCTGCTGGTGCGGCTGCTGTCGGTGGCATGGCTTGGTTAACTATGGAAAGCGGCGGAACGCCTGCAAGGCTTTGGCGTCGAATCTGGAGCTGCGATCCTGAAGTGTCCGCATAGCTCGTGCCCTGATGCAGTTGCTGTCTCTAAGCCTAGACTTGTTTTTAGATGCGCAACCTCTTTACGGAGCGCCGTAAGCGCATTTACACACTTCCGCGAGTGCTTTCGCTGGTACTGCGAGGGAGGAATTACGGCTGCTGGCGTTTTGGCCTCTCGCTAACAGCTTCTGGTGTGTGATAGCACCACTGTTAGGGAACTGCAGGTTGGGGTATGAGGATGGATTAGCCTGGTATTCCTTGTGTTCTTTCCCATGCTGTATCTGCTTCGTTCTCCTCTGCAGAATCGACGAACTCTTGGAGGAGCACTTCAGGGATAAACGCACATCAAGTGTACTCGGCGTTGCTAAACATTTGTGTGGTGGCGGATCAGACGTCGCCCTGCGGTGGGCCTCACGTCTTCAGGATTTAGGCGTCTTAGTCTCTGGTTCAGGATTGATGTATCGCAGCTGATGCAGAGGCTCCGCGACTTGCATTGCTGTGAAGCTTCAAAGCGACTTGCATAAGCCTTCAGTTCAGTTGGATATGCCTAGGATTTGCGGTTTTCCTGCTTTGCGAAATTTTGGGTGCCGGCGCAGATGCTTTGCATCGGCGAGAGACACCACGGACTCAAGACTCAAGTTTTGCATTTGCATTGCAACGTGCTGCCACCACCGGTACGCTGTTTTGTGCAGTATGTGTCAGCCAATCAGTAAGGGAAATTGGCATCCGTATATTAGCAGCTGCTAAAGTAACAGGAGAATTAATGTGCAAACAACTGCATTCATTTGGACAGGGCCTCTCCTATGCAGTGCGCGCAACAGTGTTCTCTAAAGGTGCAGATTATTCAGAATGGTTATGGCTGTCCCACCCCGTACTGGTTCTATGTCTTGCTCTGGCTCTAGAGCTGCTACTTTCAGTACCTTCTCTTTGGAGCTTTGCACAGGTGCACGACTGAGTCATTTGTTGGGACGCAATTTCTTATCAACCAAGGTTTCACTCTGACGGAAATATCTATCCTCTTTTCACTCTGCGGGTTCGTTCTCCTGTGTTTCTCCCGCTTTGCGCATCGTGCGAATGTTGTTACCGCACAACAGCAGGAAATAGTGGTGTGATACGGACAGACGGCTGCATGGGTACACACTATGTTTTCCGTGCAGGTGGGCTACTGGGGCAACCGGCAAAAAGCGCGAAATCGGGAATATGGTGAAGAGAATTTTGGATATATCCAGGTAATTTCTGTTCTTCATCTGTAGAGCCGCTTGCATTGTGCATCTTTGGCATGTTTTCATTGAATGAAGTGGGGTCGTCAACATGGTGGGACGTCTGACTCAGGTTTGTGGCAGAGCAAGCGCAAGTGTAAACCCGAACTTGAGGCTGGTTTGTCCCTGTTTGTTTTGCCTCCGCATTTCGTTTGTTCGCTGCAGGGTCTGGTGGTTGCGGGAGAAAGGATTCACGACCGCTACCCTCCAACAATTCGTCGATTCCGAAGAAACGCCGGAGTGTTTTGCCATCGTTGCTCACTCCCACTCAGGCAATCTTCGCAAGTGAACACCATTTCTCTAATCCGAGGCACTTAGGTGCTTTAGATATGACTCGTCTCCGTTTCGACAACGCTCGAGCACTCTGGTGGACGTGCAGTGAGTGCATGGTGTCACCAAGGAAGTGGCGTTTCTGCAGCCTAAAAGCTCGATTTCGAATAAAGGTCAACAGAGCAGGTTACTTTTGTAAGACATAAATGTGAACGCATACGGCCCTCTGCATTTTTGAGTGTCATATAATCCCTCGCCTTTGGTGAACCCCCTTCAAATTTCAAGGGCTTGCCTTATGGGGCAACCCTGGTACAGACGGCAGACACGCAGCAAGCCTGGAATTGCAGCTCAATCGATATCCCTTGATTCTTCACTGTCGAGCTCGCTCTCGAATTGATCAGCCTCATTGGCGAATTTGATCTTCCTGTCCAATCGAACGCGTAAATCGCCGTACTCGTAGTTTAGCATGGCTTCTACTTCCTAATTTCACAGAAAGACCCAAACGGAGAATTCTGCCTCCAACTATGCTCATACGTCCTTGGCAGGAGTGCATGATGAGTAAAGTGGGCTTCACAGCTCCCTGGCGCGATTGCTAACTCATGGCACAGTGTTTGATGTTTGTTTGTTTTGTATTATTTTGGCCTCCGAAACCGCCTAAGCATGTATGTAATGTAGATAGCATTTACCGAAAGTCTCGTCCCCTTCGCCTCAAAGATGACCTGAGAAGTGCGGATTACTGCCGCCATATCGGTGAAACAGTCGCACATCCTTTGTTGTACTTTTTGCTGGAGTTTTTCCATGCTGATGAACTCCTTTTGACGCGCTGCGGAGTCGCGGTTCCGGTATAACTTGAAGGGTCCAATGCAAATAGCAGGGAAAGATCCAGGTTGACAGAAGCTGCTGCTGTTGTTTTGACCTTCTGCGCCTCCCGGAAGAACTCTTCCCCTTGCGGAAGCTATTTTGTATCTCCCTGGAGAAAGAAGTTGTCGTTGTTGCTCTTCAAAGGCTTCTGTGAGCCTCGCAGCTTCTGCTTTGAGTGCCAGCTGCCGGCCACGGCCGTCCTGCTCGGAGACTGTCGGCAAGCTAAGTGCGACAAGATCGGCAGCAGCTTCTACAGTGGCTTGAGCCTTCTGATGCATTTCCGCGGTGTCTTCGAAACGTAGTGCGTCACGAAATGAATATGGCTCGGGTCCTATCTCTTCAAAGTCTACAAGACATGCAGAGCCAGATGACGCTGCCCAGTATACGGAGGTGAGATGCTGCGTAAATATATTTTTATTCAAAGTTTACCCTTGGTTTTCTGCACGAGGCACATAAGCTCAGTGGTACGCAAAGTGTACAGCGAACACGGTAGAAGCCGCACTATTCGATGGCTCAAAGGACTCGCGCTTCAACATATTTGTAGCCTTTCTTCCCGAAGTCCCAAGTTTCGCAGCGCGGTCAAGCTCTGCAAGTGATGCGTATATTTCGCATTCGTCTGCTAGAAGCAGCTACCCAGAACCGTGTATCTCAAGAGCTACTTATCATCGAAGGTTCCTGGGAGGGTAGGGTTGGTTATTCAAGACAGGAATGCGTTTTACAGCCCCTGATCACGCAAAATATTTCACCTGTGGGCGTGATGAAAATATGAGCAACTCCTCTTCGTAGCTCTCTTCTTCGTTTGATCTTTTCTCTCATCTTTAAGTGCTGGATCCAGAGCAGCAACGCTTGCTGCCTGCGATGTGCCGTATGCACAGCCTCTGCATTGAACCACCATTTCACTAGCTCCTCGCCAATTTCCTGAATTTGAAAGCATTTCAATTAGTCGTGAAGGTCATGGGATGGCCTCATTCAGAAGGGTTACAGCGCCTGTCTCCTGACCAGTGAAACCCCAGCAGGCCTTCGCTCAGCATAACTTCTGCTTCATTACCACAGCAATCGAATTAGGGAAATTATACGAGCACAGTGCACGTGAGGGAATGCAAGGTCCTGCATCAATAGCAAATTCAACCGTCCTAAGTCTGTGTTCGTGAATTCAAGAGAATGGGACCACTGCCACCGGCTAAGCAGAATTCCCACGAAAAGCTGGTTGCCCTGAGACAGCCGCATTCCACAGGACTTTCTCTTTCGTTCAAGCTGAATTCCTGTGCTTCAGCTGACCTTCCGTTTCTTGAGTTCGGCAGAAGCCGCCTTGGCGACTTCAGCCAGGAAATCGCCTGTAACCATGTCAGCTGAAGAAAAAAACAAACTCTCCTGCAGCCACAACACAAAAGTCCTACACACTCCAAGATGCATATTCCCGGCATACTGACCTAGTATGGCAGATGTTCCCGTCGCAATGAACAACCGTCCACCTAGACAGGAAAACGAAATAAGTTTGCACGATTAGTATCTGAAATGCCGGGTTATAGTACCAAACGATACCTCATCCAGCTGGTTTACTATCTTGTCAAACGAATCTTCATCCAGCAGGGTCGTGCCAATGTGTGCCACCCACAAATGACGCCAGAGCTGAGTTTCATGTTCCTTCCTGTAAACACAATGCGCTCACCATCGGCGCAGATGCCTCAAGCACACTAAGGAACCTTCTTCCCCAGAATCCAAGCTGCAAGCAGTTCGAGAAAAGCGAACACTTTGCCCTGGGTGGAGAATTCAAGGTATCAATCCAGTCCTCATTTAGTTCGTTTACATTGACTCACACAATCAGCTGGTTCTTTATTGCTTGCTGCGCTTGCAAGTGCCTTCTTGCTTCGCGCTGCTCCAATTCAAGCAACTGCTGCTGTTGGTGTTTCAGCAGCTGTTGCCTTCGGTTGTGCAGCGTGAGCAGCTGCTGTTCCTGTTTTGCCTCCTCCACAGCCTGCTCAACACTCTTAGCAACCAGAAGCTTTACAATTGGCTCAAGCATCCCTTCAAACCTCTCCAGATTGTCATCAACAGCTGCGGTCACAAGCACACACAGGTGTTCCCTAGGAATTCAAGCGAAAGTATCCATCCGTTAGCGTTTACGTAGCAAAACAGGTGCTGCAGCATTCGTAAGCTCGACTACGGTGACAGCTCGTAGGCGCGTCGCGCAGTGCTGAGAGCAGGCGCTTGATCAGTCAGACAGCAGTGGTGTGTGGGAGCTAGCCGTGCCTCCTGACGTTGCGTAGAGGCATGGAGGCCCCCCTGTAGAGGAATGAAAAGGAGTGAGCCTTCTTCTGATCTCTGGTTCAAATCCCCCATAGCCATGCTTGTCAAGTGCGCTGTGTGTTGCTCTTTCCCCTAAAGGAACGCATATGCCGTATCGTAGCTCCACAAGGTGTACGCTAAGTGTATTGCGGGAAATGAAACAGGGTCTTCGACCTCTACAGGCGACCAACGTACTGCTATTGCTCAAGCTCTGGAACTAAAACTGTACTGGGCTGTTCCAGGCCGTGCACAGTGACCCAGAGAGCAAGGTTTTCCGTACGGGGGATTCAGTTGCGTCTGGCATTTCTGTGGGGGTTTTCCTCTGCGTTCGTCGCTCCCATCCCCCTTTGGCTTCTGGGACGTTCCAGGAAGAGTTGCTCAAGCCAATGCAAGTCTCCCCTTGTGTAGTAGCCTCGTGGCGAAAGTGTCTATGTTTCGCGCTCTGACCCAATAAACCCCTTGGGCTGCATGAGGGGCTACGAGGACGTGGGGACTTTGCATAAGCTTCGATAGCTCTTGGAGAGGCTGTGCAACCCACAGCTTTTGTTTGCCCGCGCCTTTCGCAAGCATGTGCTGCTTCGGCGGCGGTTTCGTATTCGCATGTTGAGCTCTCACATGCCTGCCACGCGTTGATGGGTTCGGGTTTGTTGCTCCTCTGCGGTATACATTTTGGTCCATGGAATAGTAATCCATTGATCACACGCTTTTTCTCAGCTGTAACATTTCCCTTGCAGGTGCTGCTGACAAGGCCCTTCCCTGCCCACCGACGGGGACTAGTTGCGTCAGCCGTTGCTGCATGCGTACAGCACGAGGCAGCAGTTGCTGCTGCAGCTCGGGAGTCGAAAAGAGGTAATGGTGCGACTAGACTTCCGAAGAAGGAAGAAGTCAGATTTCCTGGAGGGATGTTTATTTTTGACGGCGATACAGTTGGAAGAGAGCCCCGACCCACAGCAGGACAGTGCGCGCCTGATTGACCTTTCACGTTGACTTCTGGCGATGAGCATGACCTTCGAAAAGAAGCAAAGGACAGAGCACATCTCACCGGGTGTAATGTAGCAGTAAAATGAAACCAGATGCGTAAAACCTGTCAGGGTTGTGCTGGGCAGCTGCTGAAGCATTGCACACTTCGATTGTAGACAGTGGGAAACAGTTGTTTTCGAAGTAAAAGTGGCTAGAGAAATACCTGGTCAGGAAGGGGAACAGCTGGGATTCATGGCTACTGCAGCTGATTGTTGGCTGCAACATTCCGTTCAGCAGTTGCTGCTGTGGGGATAACTGTTGCGTAGGATGTGCATGGCCGCAGAAGGCAGAATTCCCGAGACGGGAGGATTCTTGAGAGCTGAAAGGCAGCAGCTTGGTGCGTGAGGACAGATTCCTTTCGCATTCCTCAGCAGCAACTGCCTTTGCAGTCGCAGCAGCTCCAGTAAACCGTGGCAGTGCACCTGGGGAGCTGCGGGCGTTAAGATGAGGTCGAAGGTGTGGATGCTTCTCATCCCATGGTGGGTATTTTAACTGCTGCTGCATTCCTTCCATTCTGTCATGCTTGTTAAACGACGATGGGGGGCGGGTGGGAACTGGAGAGTCGGTTAGGCGGACCAATATATCCCCCGCCAATCTCCAAATGCGTGTTCAACTGATTAGTGCAAACAGAGAAAAGGCTAGGAGGAAGTCTGAAGAGGTGTTGCGCTCATATACGGCCAAACTGCAGATGACAGTTGGGGGAGCCCGCCAGTGGAGGCCCAGCTAGGGAAGCGGAAAGAAATCGCACTCCTGAAAGTCATAAAGCTGCTGCTTGGTACTAAGTGATATGTAATATTCCCAGTGGAAACTGTGGGTTTTCGAGTCCCCGTATCTTTGCGTGTCCAGGTGACCCTATTGTAGGCGTGCAGAATAATACCGATTAAACTGCAGTACTCTTCAGAGCATGGTGTTAACGCTGTCAGCACCAACTGACTTGTCGACAAATTTAACTATTTTTACCCGGAAGTGGGGGATGATTCCTCCTCGGCTAGCCCTGTCCACGCCTCGTGTTGCCACAGCCCGCTATTCCACTGAGGCGGTGGCGCCTGTCTATCTGTCAAATCACCGTGAATAGACCTACGCGCCATTCAGTACCCTCAAATAATCCATAGAATTACAATAATATAAACTGTTAGTAGGTTCCGTTCAAACTAGGCGCATGAAAGCTATTCGAGTTCTGCTGCGCCTTGGCACTACAGAAGCGATCTTGGCGCGGCTCGCTGTGTCCCAACCTGCGACAAGTCCCCACCCAACCTTAGCCGATACTGGAACTTCCACCCGTATTCTACTTCAAAGGATGTGTTCGCTCACACATTTTACTTACAATATGCATGCTTATCCGAATCATTATTTAGTCCTAGACACACACGGTCATACGATATGGGCTCCGCTGCGGACCCGCTCCCGCCAGCACAGTATTGGCACTACAGCTGAGGACCCGAGCAGCCCACAACCTGCAGCGACAAGGCGGAACAGAAATATCTTCTCGGTTGCAGTGATAAATTGTATGAATCGAGAGGAAATGAGTCCATTACTCGAAAACCGTGCATACTATGCAATGCCACTCAATCCGTTATGGCCATTCATTTCATCTCTACGCTAAACAGGTGAGCGCCCTACCTAAACCAGTCTAAATAGTGAAAATAATAGAAAATCTGTTTACGCGGTTTGGTAATTCTCTATCTAGGGCTTCAGCATGAATATTTCGTTTAATGGCCAAGAGGTAATTGGACCGAATATGAACAGCATTGACAAGTGCTGTTTTGGGCTACTCGTCAGGCTCAGTCTAAGGGGAAGAGGAAAACAAGAATAATGGTGCGAGACGGTGTGGTCGTTCTGAAATGTCTCTTCCTGTCTCAATTTGGGAAGGTGCAATTTAGTTTGGGTAGATCAGGTGTACAAACTTCAGCCACATCTCTAGCCGCAGGGTTCGCCACTGTAAGCTATGGCCTTAAGAAGAATCAAAAGCGTTAAGGGCAATTCTAGTGCGGATAAAATCACAATACACCGTTTTTCTTGCATTCCCTGCGGGCTTTTTTCTTGGCGTCGCTCGGGGGATAGTGCAGTTGCACTACCGCACGGAGAATACCACTGTAAGGAAAATAGGCATAAGCGGCTGGTGGTTTATTTGAAAATGGCAAGAGCAAAATGTGGCACAGTGGAACGCGCATCCAGGCTTGTGTGAATGCTCCTGGCCAGAGGCTAGCACCTTCCACTTGCCCTGTGGTAGCTAACAACTCATACTTAAAGTTCTAAATGTGGTGGAGCACACTAACTCGTTACTTCTGTAGTACATTGTCTACAAAATATACTGCAGAAGTTGTAAGGCGTCTGCCGTGTATCTAGTTGTCATCAGGGGTACTACGAGCCTGCTTTCGCTGCTCACAGGCACACTGCATTCTTCCCAGAGTGTTCGTTTGCACCGAAACCTATAAATTAACGTCACTGTTGCACTCTTTTCGAAGAGCGGGAGGAGCTGCGAAATCAAAAAAGCTTCCGGTGATATCGGCCTAGCAAGTGCTTCGTGCAACGCTTAAATCAAGAGCATGAACAAAACAAAACAAAACGCTTACAGATGTCTGCTTCTGATGGCTGCCTGTTTGTCTTACATTTGGCAGCATCCGTCAATTCGATTCTGCCTGTGAAAGCTAAGCTTCCGCACTGCTCTGCCTAGTCTTCTTGCTGGTCGAACTTTCCGCCTAGACAGCGACTTGGCAACAAATAATTGACTCAATGACAAAGGGTAAATCAGTTCACAGCTGCTGATGGGCTGCACTGCGAAAAGGGATGGAAGCCTTGTCGGAATCCCTCGGCACAGTTGCATGTAGAGGATGTTGCAATCCTCTGGACGGAATCAAAATAAAAAAGGAATTAACCCATTCTTTTCTTGTGAAAAGACCAGATATGCATCTTTCTTCCGAATCCTGCTTGATCCCTCTTCGCACAGAAGACTGGAGCTAGGAGCAGACCGCGCCCTTCAAACTCATTCCATCTACCCATATTCCGTCACCTCCCCTGACCCTAGCTATTTTGACCGGATCCCTTATGATTAATGCTACCGGATGGGCCGGGTGGCTTACCTTGGGTGGCTGCATCTGAGCCTACGTTTGCTAGCAGTCGATGGCTGTACAGGTCCGCACTTCTGGGTCTGGGCTTCACTTCTTTACGTGGAATGTAATTATCTGAAGGAGAGCGTTTAACGTTTGGGCTGGCGCCACCACTTGTCCTCTCAGGGAAGCGGGAGCTTGCGGAGCTGACTTTGATGCGGTCGGGCAGGATTTTTCCCGGTTTCGGCTCCCGTTCAACATTTTCTTCGGGGTGCTCATGAGGGGTAGGAAGTGGGTGAGGATGGGCTTCGGGGCTTTTTTCTTTCTGTTCAGATGACTCCTCGTGGGGGTTCGTAGGTGGCATCAGAGGCTTCCCGGGAGAAGAGCCTTCATGAGGACCATCTTGGCCTTGCTTTGCAGGGGACGGCGTTGGCTTGGGCGATTCGTGTTCTTTGAGTGAGGGAGGCGCCACTACAACAATGGGCGAAATCCCTGATGGATGCTTATCTTCCACCGTCTCCACATGGTTTCCTTCTGCACTTGGCTGTTCCTTGTCTTGAGGCGGTGGCCCAGTTGGTTCCACTGCAACTCCCTCTGATTGTGCTCCTTCCTCCTGGGTAGTGGCCTGTGCCTCCTCAGTCTCCTGCGGATTGTTCGCTTCCTCGTTCTTGTCTGACGGTATTATGACAACTGACTGATGAGGACGCTCCTCCTCCTTGGCCTGCAAAGGAGGATTTCCTCGATGTACCGCCGGAGGGGTTGGAGGTGGCGGGCCCCGCGGAAAAGGTTGTTCGCCGCTCGGTCCTGAACCAACAAGGGACATGAAAAACATTTTGTAATGCAGTGAGAAGGGAATGTAACACGTTTATCGGTTGACTCTTACGAAGCAGCACAATGCGGAAAGGTGAACAGACCTGCAGCTTCGTCTAGGGAACCTATGCGGGGTTCTGGGTGTCCATTGCTGCCAGAATGTTCGTCGTGTGTCTCGCCGCCGCCGTCTTCACCATGGCCAGGTTCATTGCCTTCGCTTGAAGGAACCGAGTACAAGGAGACAACCACCTCATCAAAGGTCTGTGGGTCCTTATCAGATGGAGAAAACGGTTTCATTTGTGGCATACCAATCCTGGAACAGTTTTTCTGCACGCGTTTCTTGTCAGAGTCCGTTAGCAACTTGCTCTTAACGACGCTTCTTACGGCCTGCACGAGGAGCGTATGAGGTTCTAGGACTTCTTCTATTGTCATGGACCCCCAGCTTAATGACAACACAGCTTTCAAAAGACTGCGATCCGTTTCCGAGCCTTCCTGTGAGTTGATTGCACAGGTCAATTGTCTTCTGAAGAAGGTTTCTGCAATCCCAATGCTGAGTGCTGCCCAAGCATGAACCTGGGCGGACGTCTCTTTTACCTCATCGTGGCATCTCGACAGAAGATACTGGGCAACGCGGCGTGTGTGCGAAGCACCAGCAGCGCGTGAGGCCTCCAACAAGTTGTTGAAGGCATTCCCAGGCGATGTAGGGCTTTCGTTGGCTTCCGTAAGAGCCCGTTGCGACAGGATCTTCTGAACAACTAGGGCTGCAAAATGCGAAGCAAACCAACGACACACACATTTAATGGTGGAGAAATCATTCTCGTTTTGGGTGGAGGCCTCCATCACAGAAAGCTGCGCTCAGGAGCATGCGCTGCTTAGGGCCTAGGACAGTTAGGTTCCCAGTGGCTGTGTCCAGGTATCTTTGCCTGTCGTACTTGAATCGATACACCACTTCAGCCCCTTCCTGATATTTTCGTCGCTGGCAGCGGCCTGATCTTCCTGCAGTATGAGGTTGAAGCTCCCTGCCATCCAGGCGGCGCTATCCTCGGACATGCCGGATTGTGCATCGTGTTGCATGTGGTAATCTAAATAAGCCGAGTGGACGCTGCGGTATGCATCTAAAAGAGCTGCTGCCTGTGCACAGGCTGCCATTACTTGGGGCCCTCCCACAGCTTCATTGGGATGGCGGAGACGAAACACTTGCATGAGGGTTTTTACCAAGTGCTGCCGGTAAGTCTGTGTCGACACCTGAGGGAAGAAGGAGGGCCTCGAACAGCCTGAGTACATTTGGCAGAAGGAAGCTCGTAAATCATAGGATAATTGTGATTTGCAAAATGTCTTTGTTGCCTGAAATGACAAGTATAAGAGTTCTACTCCGTAGAATGGCTGTCGAGGCAGAAATGCGCCACACAGTGCTTACCCGCGAACTTAACGAAAAGCGGTCGTGCCGGTTGGCCTGCAGCACCTGCACAAGGAATGCACAAGGTGACTGCAGAATGAGAAACATATGAGGAGTTTCATGGGGAGCCTACTGCACAGCACTTGACCCACAGTTTCTGCAGCAACTGTCTGCAGCACACCGCCAGGGGGCAGAGGCGCTGTGACGGAATAGAAAGCCGACTCACCTAAGCAGCTGCAGATAAGCACGACAATACCGACAAACAGGCATTTTCCAACCATCCTTTGTCATGGATGAACGCGTCAATAATTCTATGCAGATCCTTCAGAAGAGCATTCAACTACTCTAGTTCTGTGGAGGCTTGTCTGATGTCCTGCCTGACTGTGCGTTCTTCAAAAATCACACGTAAGAGCAAATTGGCATTTTTATTTTTGTCTTCACACCGTTTGCATTTTCATACTCTAGAGGTCACTCGAGTCTCCTCCGGTCGTGTACACGAGCAGGCCTCGGACAGTTGCAATTGTAAGCATTCCAGAAACCACACGACGCAGCTAAAGTCAGGCTATTGATACTCCCTTTCGGTCAAACTTTTCCTTCTCCCCTTCAATGAACATTCTTCTGCAGGCATAGGCTGCACAGACCCTACTGACCCAGTGGTTTGCGCGGAAGGAGACCGCCCGGCCCCGTTCCACAGTGGCGGCGCTCCGTCTAGTTCGCAGCAATACCAATATGCATCAAAGAGGTTATATGGTAGACCAGAGGTGCAACTATTGCTTATACAAAAGCGAATCAAACTAGAAGACCGTCTGTAGTTGATTATGGAACAAAGTTGAGCCAGATTAAATGGCAGCACCTCCCCGGTTCCGGGCTGGCCCAGTAGTTTGCGGCACTACAAAGTTGCATCGGAGCAACTACAGTGGTTGGAGGACAAAACACACTTGCAATTGTCGTATATATGGAATCGAATCAAACAAGGAGTTCGTCTGTAGTTAATTAGAGTTCAAAGTAGACCCAGATTAAACGACCGCACGGGTGGGTGGCTACCGGCCACCCGCACAACGGTGAAAGAAATAACCTCAGTTCCATTTTGGCAAACAAACCAAAGATCACTGAAATTAGTTCTGCTTTTCATGTTCATTTTATTAGTTTAATGGACAGATACAGTTCTACTGCCGCATACGTAGACGAGTTATGACCGTAGAAGAGAAGGTTGCTCTTTACACTTGGTAGCGCTCCCGGGGATTAGGAAGTTGTTTTGCTTTCTACCCCTTACACATTAAATTATCTGCCTTTTTATTTCATTTGATTGATGGACCCTTTCGCCCCGTAAGTCAAACGGGCACCCACGTAATGTGTGTGTGATTGGCACACCTGATCTAACACCCCTCATAATGCCTAGCGTATGAGAGGCGAGCCGGATCTGACAGGCAAACGCTCAATTACCTCCGATCGTTGCACGTCAAGGCACAGTGGAGCCTTTTTCTACTGGTGCACATAAGAAACCAGTCACCACGGCTGGTGTCAACACCTGGATACAGCTATGGAAATTTTCCGATTAGGGCGGGAGTTAGAACACCTGCACAATTTTAGGCAGCAGATATGAATAAATATGGAGATTTTATGTCGGTCGTCTTACGGCAGTCTTCAGCTGAAGACAAAAGAGAACTTTTCTCGTTCCTGTAGAGCATCGATTCACGGAGATAAACATGGAGCAAACACTCCTGGGGCAGACATTTAGGATAATGCCTACTTGGAGTCACCCTGGAGTACTGGATGTACCTAAAGGAAACAGGCTCTGAGCCGAGTGATTTGCCTCTCTTGCGACGAAGCTTGATACAGCGTTTCAGTACTACCAACAGCAGCACTCATGTACAAAGGTGCCGGCATACGGCACGCTTGCGCACCAAGTGGTCAGAAAAGCTACAACAGATACGCTCCTCCTCCCCCACCCAAGCGCTAGAAGGGCTACCATTGGTCCAAGGCTCAAATATGCATCGAGGAGCTATTGCGTTCGGCCCGGGACGATACGGCGCATCTCAGCGGTGGTTTACATGGCCTCAAATCCATACTGGCATTATGAACTACAGAAGCGTCAGTAGGTATTCACCTGCGCGAGAGACAAGGATCGCTGCTGTGTGCTCTGGTCGAGCGTACCTTCAGGTCCGTGTCAGCTAGTTTTACAAAATATCTCCAGCGGTGGAGAAAGGCGACCGACGAATCCTATGGTCGTCAGCCACTCTTAATTATCCACATTTCGATGAGTGCAGTCAGAAGAGAGACAAAGCACTCTCCCACATATGCTCACCGTCTTAGCAGAGGATGGAGCAGTGTTACCGGATCGTCTAACTTGGAAAGATTCCCCCGATGCCCTGAGCTGAACGCCGGTGGGGACACTTCTGGAGCTGCAGGAGAGGAGACATCCTGCCGTGATCTGCAACGAACCTTGCTGCAACAAGGTGCAAGACAGCCACAGAATCAAGCACAAACAAGCCTTCGTAACTGTGTGCACGAGCACTGTATACATCAATTGAAAGACTTCTTGATGCGTTATGTTTGGGTACTGGGGCTCGGAAAGGGTTCATGCGGCCACTTCAGACCAACGTCATAATCGTGCAAACTATGCTATTTATGCGACCTGTACGTGAATGAACAAACTCTATTCAAAACCGGCTCCTGTGAACTTGTCTGTATAGAGATAAGTAAGAAAAACCCAAATTTTGGCATGGGGAGTTCACTCGAAATTGGTCACGTTTTCTAACTTACGGCGTTTACGAGAGAGAGCAAAGCACCAGCTAGTTTCCCAGCCAACCATTAGGGATAGTTCATTAGCCCGTGCGTGCATGCGTTCATCCGCTTTAGTTGGAGCAAACGAGAGCATTTTCGTTGCGCGTACCAGCTGAAGTGGTGCGTTGGGTATATCAGCAGGGTGTTGAGATTCCGACTGCCGATATTCACCCCTGTTGTTTACCTCCATTTCAGCAATAATGGTTAACACTCCACCCCGGTTACTTGTTAATGCCCTGAATGACCAAAACTATTAGAAAAAACATACGGGCAAGTGACACATCTTGATCGACATGGCAAATGTGAACTCCTGTGTCATTTGTTCACCAAAATACGGGAAACAGAGTTCTACACCTGCAGCCAGAACAACAGCACCTAAACAGGCAGCAAGCAGGTCAGTTTCCGCAGTCAAACGTCAATAACTTGAGTCCTAAAGTTGCAAATCAGATTTGCCTTCGTCACTATGTCTGCTTCCCTCCGCTCCCTTCTACACCCGCCTCACAAAACCAAACGAACCCCCAAGTTTCTCGGGAACAGCCAAGAGAACAGCGCCTACGCTCTTTGCCTTGCTTTTATCATGCCATGTGTAATTTGCCTCCTGATACATAATTTATCAACACATCTATACTGCAACTATACATTCAACTGGTACATCCTCCTTTGGCTAAGTTTGTCACCTGCAAAACATCTTCGCACAAAACAGCGTCCACTAGTCGCAAGTACTCTTGCTTGCTCAGAGTACACCACAGTAGGACTGCTAGCAATCAGACTTCAACGTAATAATTAGTGTTGCAATCCGTTCCTCTTCTTCTTTGGCGATATGATATTCTGTTTACTGAGTTATGGCAAAAGGAATAAAGACAAGTGGAGTATCGAGGAGCAAGCCCATGTGTACTTAATTGTTTCTTAGCGGGTAAAGTGTTTATACGGAGCACTGCAAATATATAAACTAAGCCTCATCTGTCTTCAGATGTAGGAAAATAAAAAGCGAAACTGCGCTGGGAGATGAATAGGTTCGAGTGAATAATAAGATTTATTTCACACAGTTTTGTAGTGCACTCCAACACAAACGGTCGGCGAAAAGTATGTGTAAAAATAAATACATACTGTAGAAAAACATATATATATATATATATATATATATATATATA